GTGTGTCTACTTGAGGTAAATGTTTAACTCACTTGCCTGTACTTTGTTTTTGCCATTGCTTTCTAATACACTAGAGGCAACCCCACACTGCTCCAACTATGTTAGATCCCACTATTAATCACCTTCCTGGAAGCTTGTACCTTTAGTTCATAGTATGTGCAACAATTTAAGTAGATACATAAGATCAATACACACCCCTACACATAATCCTATGCTTAAGCACAGCAGGATCTGTGGCCATTTCTAGTTCATTTGCCACTGTATCATCAAAAATCAGGTGGTTGCTAGGTCATAGTAGGTGTTCAAAGAGCATGCTATACTACTTAGCTTAATGGTTTTAGTGAATGAATTCACATTTGCATTCTTGTTTTCAACTGTCTTACCTATAAAACGGAAGAGGAAGGAATAAATTGTATTAGAAGACAAGAACAAGGCTTTAGAGCCAGTCAAGAGTTGGACCTGAATCCTAACCCTGCCTCTCACTGGATGGTGATCTTGGGAAATGAACTTCTCTGGTGTTGATTTTCTATTGTAGAATAGAGGCCACAGTGCTTTGAGAGGTTCTAATAATGATGCTAAAATGACATTATTCTCACTCTCTCACTTCCTAGAAGGGAGTCTTGTAAAAATTACTTAGCATTTCTGTTTCTCATCTGTACAAAGAAGATGGCAATAACTCCTGCCTCACAGGGTCATCGTGAGTATTGTTGTTGTTGTTATGTGCCATCGAGTTGGCCCCGACTCATAGCGACCCCTCCTTGGGTTTCTGAGGCAGTTATCACTACGGAAGTAGGATTGCCCAACCTTCCTTCCGAGGAGTGGCTGGTGGGTTTGAACTGCCAGTTGTCTGGTTAGCATGCAAGTGTCTTAGCCACTATGCTACCAGAGCTCCCTCGTGAGTATTAGATAAGTTAATGTATGCAAAGTGTTCAAAACAGCTCTTGGCATGTGACGAATTAATGATAGCTGTTATTATCATTGTTAAAAATACTAAGTAAAGAGCTTGACATGGAGTAAATCTTAAAAAATGGTCACCATTATAGCCATTCCTGCTACCCTAGCCATTATTATTAATAAGATGATAGCATGGGAATGAGGATATCGTAATGATGATGTTTCTTTATAGTTCTGACTTCTGTCACTCTCACTTCAAATAATGGGAAGGGGCTTACTTTGTGATAATAGCCCATCCCTTTCCATTTTCATGCAACATGGTCTAATAGTTTGTTCATTTTTCAAAAAAAGAGAGTTTCTTCTTATACATCAAACAAATCTTCCCATTCTACCATCTAATAGTTGTTCAGATTTTGAGGTGTCACAGAGTCCCACCTGCAGTCTCTCTTCTCGAGGTGGAATAACTCCATTTTTTTCAGCTGTCTCAAGAAGCCTTTCACAACTAGCCTGCACAGCTGATCCTCAGAAAACTGGAGCAACTGAGCCACCATTCTGCTTCCTCTCATTTGAGAAGAATCTCATCTTTTAATTTCCCATGCTCCTCTGTGTTCATTAACACAGAAAGAGGACTTTGTCATATCGTTGAGTGAAAAAAAAAAAAAAAATTCAAAACAGCTTTACTGAGATTTGTGTATGTATGTGCGTGTGTGTGTGTGTGTAGAAAGAGAGAGGGAAGTGTTTTAATAATATGTTAATTCTGTGTATTTCTGGGTGATGAAATTTTTATTTTCTACTTCATTAAATGTCTTTATTTTTGCACTGCCTGAATAGGCTGCAAAGGACAGTTATTATTTTTAATAGACTGAAAAGATTAATTAAAAAATTTAAATTTCATTAACTGTACTTACAGGATGATTTAAGATAGAATTTAAAATATATGGATAGAGTCAGGAAAATGAGGGTGGGGGCAAATAAAGGCTGGATCAGTGGAAAAGAAACCTCATGAAATGAACTTTGCTGACTTCTAACACTCCCTGGGTAAGCACCAGTGAGTGTGGAGAGATGCTGACCAACGTGACAGGCTGCTATTCCGTGGTGCCCATGTCTTCTTTCCCCCGTCTAGATTTTATGCCGGTGATTTATGTCCGTGTACAAGCGACTTCCCCATACCTGAAGGTCATCTGGAAGACTTGGCCTTGGTCCACATGCCGGGTCCGGTTGTTGTAACCATGCAGCATCTCTCCAAAGAGGGTGTCGTTGAATTTTGAGTCAGGTTTGAGGCACTTGGGGCCTTCGCAGACATCTGAGAGCATTAGGCAGGATTTTCCATCAGGAGCCAGCTTGTACTCCTCCACACAACTGCATGATAAAATAGAGCCAAGAGTTAGCTCCACATCCATAGCCCCACTGGGGATGACCTAAAACTAAAACTAAGGCCTTCTTACCTGAAAAGCAGGCCAGAGTTTAGGATGGAGATAGCTATTCTGGCTAGCATATATCTAGGGCACAGGTGTCTAGAGAGAAACACATTAATCCTGCAAATTGGTAAACTCAAGGAAAGTCATTTGTGACATTTTGAAGGAGAAGAGGGGGAAACCAGCACGCACGTCCACACACAGAACAAATCCAAAAAACTGTTTTCCCTTTACACACAGACTTTAAAAAGTATGACAGACCAATTCACAGGGAATTGTCACCTAGCTTCCCAAACTAGAATCTATTCTCAGTGTATCTGTCAACCAAGGTTGAAGACTGTAGCAAAAACAAGGTAATCCTTCCAGGACCGTGGACAGTGCACAAATCAGCAGCCAAAGTTTCTGTTCAATTAGCAAAGTTAGCAGCCTCTGTTGGTCTCTAATCATCCAATCCTGACAGCCAGATGGGCCTCTGACATACCTTTGAGGCAGGGTTGCCTCCTCTAAGACTCTAAGAATTTAAGTAAGGGTGGGAAAGATTTGGCAATTTGGAAATGTTCGCCATGGGAACAGATTGCCTTAGAGAGGGGTAGAGATGAGAGGCAAAGACCAGAGGCCTCGGTCCCTGAAAAATCAATCCAGACACTGGACTTCCTTGGGTATATATTTGTTCATGGTCCTGTGCTACGGAATAGGGAAAGGTGCACATAAATAAGACAGACAAGAGAACAGGTTTTACAATTCAAAAGATCTGGTACAGAAGTCATCTTTCCTATTTGAACCAGGGCAAGCCATTTAATTAACCTCTTTGACCCTCAATTTCCTTATCTATAAAACAGGGTAAACATTCATATCCTACCTTAATTCACTAGGCTATATAAGGTCACATGGTACATGGACTATGAAAACAGGAATTTCAATGCAATTTAAACAATTGAGCATAGTGTCTAAGGCATTTGACTGCTAACCAGAAGGCTGGCGGTTCAAACCCACCAGCTGCTCCTCGGAAGAAAGATTGGGCTATCTACTTCCGTAAAGATAATGCCACGGAATTCCAAGATGGGTTCACTATGAGTTTGATCCAACTCAACAGCAGTGAGTTTGGTTTTTGTTTTTTTTAGTAGTAGCAATGGTGGTGGTAGCAGTAGTAGCAGTTTGTATTTATTGAGCATATACTACTCACCAGTCACTTTATATGTTTATTTTCTAACCATGATAAGAAGGTAACTATCATCATTTCTGCTTTACAGGTAAGCAAAAAGATTGCCTAGGAAATGAAGAATATCTCACTGTAAGTAGAAGAGCTGACATCCTAACTCAGGTCTCTTTAAAAACAAAGGCATCTTTTTCCACTTTCCCTCCTCCAAATCCAGTGGTTGCTATTTGCCTGAGGGAGAACAGGGTCCAACTCCATGGCACATAACAACATCATCATCAACAACAACTTGCCTGATATGACCCTGGTTCAGTGTGTTGGAGTTGTGTTGGTTAGAGGCAACATAAAGCAGGCAGTCCATTAGTTGCCTTTCCTTCATGGGGTGGAGTGGAGATCCAATAAGCCAGCCTGTAAATGGCCTCAGGACCTCATATGTGACACGGGAGAGCCTCTGTGAGCTGCCTTAGGAGGAAACTATCCCAGACTGCAGGGACCAGTAGCTAATGCTAGAGACATAGAATCCAACTGGAGGTGGGAAGTAGACAGGTAGGGAAGAAAGCAGATAGGCAGAGCAAGACACTTGCCCCAAGATGCTTTTAGGGAAAAGCCAGGAGCATCTCACGCAGGAAGCAAACTGTCAGTCTCTCCTCACAACCCTCTCTGCCCTAGTGAAGTGTACTGATTATCTTTCTAATGTTCACAGGCTCCTGCCCAAAGTACAGTGGAATCTCTCTCGGAAGGAGGACCTGTCCTCATCTGCTACCTACTTGCTGAAGTGCCCTGGTCAAGTCGATGCCTCTTTTCTCTTGTATCTGTTAAGTGGAATTAACTCTCTATACAGTTGTGGAGTCCCTGGATGGTTGTCTTAGTTATCTACTGCTGTTATAACTGAAATGCCACCAATGGATGTCTTTAACAAACAGAAATTTATTTTCTCCCAGTTTGGGAGACTAGATATCCGAATTCAGGGTACTAGCTCCAGGAGAAGAGCTTTCTCTATCTTCCCCCATCTCTGCCCACTTGCTTGCTTGTTTAATCTCTTTTATATCACAAAAGAGAATGAGTCAAGACACACCCTACACTAGTCTGCCTCATGAATACAACAAAGCAAGTTCATTCCCTAATGGGATTATAACCCATAGAGGTTAGGATTTATAACATGTTTTTTTGGGGGGACATAATTCAATTCCTAACAGTGGTGCAAATAGCTAACAGGTTTGGCTGCTAACTGAAAGATTGGAGGGTTTGAATCCATCCAGAAGCATCTTGGCAGAAAGGCTGGTGATATACTTTTCAAAAATCAGTCATTGGAAACCCTATGGAACACAGTCCTACTCAGACACACATGGGGTCACTATGTGTCAGAATCAACTTGATAGCAATTTGTTTACTGGTTTCATATAGTTGTAATGCAGATAAAGTGAGTGTGATATGAAAGTGCAGAGTACATAGTAAATGCTCAATAAAGGTTAGTATCATCCGTTTATCCCAGGAGGATTTCAGCTGACATGGAGAAAAGCTTTACAAGGCAGAATTCTTTTTTATCCCCTCTGTCTCTCTCTCACCCACACGTGAGCTTTCTTTACACAATTAAGAAATAAACATATTTTAGTTGTACATGATTAAGCATAATCAAAGTCTAAGAGTAAAATGTGGGAGTTCTTTATTTTACCACCCCACATACTTTTTCACTTCCTGTCCCAATGGTCATCACTGTTAGCTGCTATGTGCTGTTAGTGGCTATATACATAGTCCTAACTCACAAATTCAAAAATAGAAATATACTACACACTGTTGCGAGACACACATTTGCACCTATTCTTGGAGATCTTTCAAGTCTTCATACAAATAGATTTATCTTTTTAATGGTTATTTGGCATTTCACAGTATAAATATACCATAATGCTTTGCACTCATCCTTATTGATGGGCATTTGGTCATTTATAACTATTTGTTATTACAAATAGTGCCATAATGAAGATCTTTGTATATACATCATTATTTATATGTGTCCTTCTATAAAACAGATTCTTAGAAGAAAGACTGCTGGGCCAGTGTTTTATGAATTTAACAAATTGTGATGGATCTACTAAATGGCCATCTGTAGAGTCTACATCAGGAGCTCTGGTAGCATAGTGGCTAAGACACTTGCTTGCTAACCAGACGGCTGGTGGTTCAAACCCACCAGCCACTCCTCGGAAGGAAGGTTGGGCAATCCTACTTCCGTAGTGATACTGCCTCGGAAACCCAAGGAGGGGTCGCTATGAGTTGGGTTTGACTCGACGGCACACAACAACAACAACAAAGAGTCTACATCAGTTTAAAATCATATCACTGATGGGCAACAGGGCCTATTTCTCCACATCCTTCATGTTCATTATTACAAATCTAGGGTGGGAAGAAATGGCTCATTTTGGTTTGGGTTTGCATGTCTAAGGTTCCTGGGGAGGTTCAGCACATTTTTACACCGTGGTCATTTGCATTCCCTCTGAAGACTGTCTGTTCATGTTCTTTAGCCACTTTTCTATCGAAATATTTTTTTGTTCTTATTGGTTTGTATATGCGCTATATATTTTCAGGATAATTATCCTTCACCTCCATATATATTGAAATTTTCTTCCAGTCTGTACTTGAATTTTAATTTTGCTTCTGATGTCTTTTAACCTCTCTATTCTGGTCCCTTATCGCTCCTGAAGTTTATGAAATGCTTAGGGAGCCACAGATAATGAGATATATTTCTCCCTACTCTTCTAAGATTTTTATAGTTATTTCATCTTTGGTTTTTTAATCTGCATGGAATTTATTTTTGTGTATGTGGGCAGGGCTATTTTAACTTCTTGGTTTTTTTTTTTTTTAATGGCTAGCCAATTTGAGTTCATCCTTTTATCATCTAATTTAAAATGCCATCTTTAACATATACTAAGTCCTTGTGTATACTATATATACATGGCTAAATATTTTTCTATATCATTATCTGTCTATCCTTGCAATAATTCTAAACTCTTTTAATTGCTATAGTCTTCTTGTATGTTTTGGATATAGCAAAGCAAGCCTTTTCTCTGTCACCAACACTGATATTCTATTTCAAAATTTCCTGACTGCTTTTATATCTTTTTCCCTTCAGATTAATTTAAGAATCAGCTTGTCAAATTCCATGTAAAACCCTAGTGGAATTTTGGGTAGAATGCATGAAATTTGCAGACTAAATTGAGGGGAGGTGTTTCTTTTTGTTGTTGTTTTCTTAATTTTCATTTTATAAGTACGTATTGAGGATCTACTCTGTGCTGGGCACTGCTGACATCTTGTCACAGGTAATGTCATGTGTTCACCACATGGTGTCTTCTTCCTGGATACATATTGTAAACTACATATCTAAGCCTCTCTTGGAGTTGGGTGGACGGCACATGTGACTGGATTCTGAACAATGGGGTCTGACTGAAGTGATGTAAGTCACTGCTAGACCTAGCCCTTCAAAAAGCATCTTGTGTGGTTCACAAGACCTCTCGTCCCATGCAAGCTTGGAGGTTGTGTGTTCTAGATGCATACTGCTGTATGATGAAGGCATGCCACAGAAATGACTCACATTTGACCTTGTGTAAACAAGAAATACATGTCTGCATGCAATCCTTGGTTTGAGAGGCTTCATTTGTTACAGAAACATAAGTTATCTTATCCTAGCTAATATAGGATCTTCACAGTTTAACCAGATGCCATCAAGTTGATTCTGACTCATGGCAAGCCCATGTGTGTCAGAGTAAAAGCATGGTCTGTAGGGTTTTTGATGGTTG